CGTTTCACTCCTTTCTGCTGCTTCCATCAGGGGATTTTTTTGTTTTTGTTCATTTAATAAAACCTTACATGTCAAGTTTGTTATTGAGAAGATAAGAATAAAACAATGACATAAGTTTGTTCTGGTTCTGTTTACTACAAAACTGAAAGTAAAACAGAAATCTGCAGTAAATAAGCTGATGCTGCCTGTGAAAAGCATCAGGAAATGTTTTATCTGAATCAACGATCTGCGCTCGAAGGCCACATCTGCTCTATTCTAGTGTTGTGAATGGAAGGGCCGCACATAATCTCTCTACGGGCCGCAAATGGCCCCCATGCCACACTTTGGACATCCCTGCTCTGCATAAATAAACTAAATTGAAATTAGGGTAAATTTTACATTTTTGTCTGGTTTTTTTTCATGAGGTAGAACCAAACTTTGCAACTGGTACCTTCAACAGATTACAAATGCATCTCAATAAATTATAATCAAAAAGTTAATTTATTGCAATAATTTAAAATTATGCTATTTATATTTATCCCACATAGATCAATATACATCAAGCTTTTATTTTTGTTCATTTAATGATTACAACTCACAGTTAATGAAATTCAAAATTCTGTTTCTCTGAAAAGTCTGTCTCAAAAAATGACTTATTTGGCTGAATACTTTTTCCTTCCACTAAACTTTTCATTTGGATACAGCACTGTGAATATCCAGTTTGTTTTTTTTTTTGTTGATAACTAACTCCGTCCTGGTGATTTTAGCAGCTGGAGCGGCGATGCACAGAGGAGTCGGGTTTGATGTTGAGGGGAAAGTTCTGGCGCTGCTTCATCAGAGAGTCTGTCATTTGCAGCCTTGTCATCAAGACCCTGAACCTGAATTATTGTACACCTTGTCTTTACTGCAAAGATTTATTATCTCTACAGAGTCGTTTAGGAAATGGTAAAACATTTCACATCAGTGGAGCTTCTCTCTGAGCTGCTTGGACTCGGATGGTACAACAACTAGATCCCGCTCTGCTTTTTTAAATTGGTCATAAAAATACCTGACATGAACATGAAGGAGCCTTCATAAATGTTAAAGACTGTTGTCATTAAGTGTCATTCTGTAAATAATGACATTTTTATTGCAAAGTTACACATTAAAGGTCCATCAAAAGTATCAGCTTTGCATTAAAAGTGTCATTTTTTATTGAATGACACTTCTATGACACAGTCATACATATTCATGGAGTCTTCATGAATATTTATGATGGTGTCATGTCAGTCTTATGCACACGCCTTCAAATAAAGTCTTACCAACAGTTATTCAAGCATTTTTTCTTTAGACTTTGGCTGCTTTTTCCACTCAATTTTTAGTTCAGTTCAGGAACAAACATAAAACTCTCATCTCGCATTGTGAGGGATTGACCTTAGCTATCTCTGGTTGGCTCAGGTTAGGGCTGGAACGTGTTAACATGTTGATTTCAGTTAATTATCTACAAACATTTTAACTCAAGAAATAACTTTTTTTTTCATACTAAAGTCGAAGCTGGAACCTTTGTGTTTGCTTGTTTCTGGTACACCCGTAAATCTGACAGACAAGTGACAGCCACTAAAAGCAGCGATGGATGACAAAGCCGCTTCTGTCAGGCCACTTTGGGTTAATGTCTGCTTCTAAAAACGATCTGATTGGAAGCTGGAAAAGACTGTTGTTGAGTTCAAGTTGTGCTAAAAACAGTTAGCTTATTAGTGAAGCTATTCAAGCCTAAATTAGCATCTCATTGCTAAGCATGTAGCAGCAGTGCTAACGCTACTGTCACATTTTTACAGAAGGATTTGTTCAAAGACGTTACATAAACCTGACTGGAAAGTTGAATCTGTTGTTTATTCTCTTGATTTATGGTTTTCAGTTAAACTGCAGTTAATCAAGTACAGATTGTGCAATTAACTCAAAATTTTAATTGACTCCCATCACCTACTATAACATAAACAGGATGGAATTGAGTTGTAGCTGGAACTGATATCTCAGTATGATCAAATTATTTCAATTAAATCTTTTATTTTTTTTAAATCCAAGACTCCACCAGCGGTATCAATTTTTTTTTATTACAATCATCAACAAAGTTATTAAGTTGGAAAGGATGTGGGCCACACAAAATATGTTTTAATTAAAAAATTCAAAAATAAATATCTTGTTTCCTTTTTTACTCTTATAGTCAACATGCAAGGTTTTTTAAAAATAAAACATATTTTAGTTATAAAAAGGGATCTGTAGTTTATTCTCGATGCAAACCATTAAAGGGCCAGACTGAGGTTAGCTAAAGTTTGCTTCAGGTTCTGTTGACTAAAAAATTTTAATAAAACAGAAATCTGCCGTAGATAAGAAACTGATTTTCTCTGTGAAAAGGTTCAGAAAATGTTTTATCTGAATCAGCGATCTCCTTTTTAAGGTCAGATTTACTTCATTGTGGTTGGAGGGGCCGCACATAATCTTCTGAAAGGGCGCAAATGGCCCCCGCACCACACTTTGGAGACCCCTGCTCTACATAAATAAACTGAATTAAAATTAGGGTAAATTTTAAACCTCATGTTTGCTTTTTCATGCTTGTCCTGAGGTGGGACCACTTTGCAACTGCCACAAATTCATCTCTGTAAATTAAAATGTCTTGAAAAAGTTCATTTATTTCAATAATTTAAACTCATGCTATTTATATTTATCACACACAGAGTGATACATATCCATTTATTCCCATTCATATAACAATTACAGCTCACAGTTAATATAAGAGATAATCTCTCAAAAGCCTGTATGAAAACATGATTTAATAGCCTGAGGATATTTTCCTTCCACTAAACTTTCCATTTGGATGCTTGAATACCGAACTGTCAATATTCAGTTTGTTTCTTTGTGATTTTTGTTGATAATTGTCTGAATAATCAATATAAAATAATGTTTTGTTGATTAAATGTGATATTTGGATTTTTGGGGGCTGAAAGTCATAGTCACCTAAATAAACAGGAACAAGCGTTTAAAATAGGCCTGTGTTACTATTTATACAACAAGGACTTAACTTTACGAATTTGATGTGTCCCCTCTAAAAAATTAACCACCTTGCGGTGATTATGCTCTTATTTTTCTGATTAAGTTCAAAAGTTTAATGTGATAAGCAGCCAGAAACACGCAGATTGAGATTAGACGTTTGTTTTGTATTGATTCTCCAGTAAATGGAGAGAAGACGTGAATAATTGAAGCGGTAATCTGCTTGTTTTGGATCGCAGCGGCGGCGTCGGGCCCAGCAGGCCCGTCTCTCGCTCTCCCATCCTGGCAGGCCTGAAATCTCTTCCCTGTTGATTTCCCGTCACTTCCTCCCAGCTTTATGATTTAAAACCAAATAAAAAGAAAAGGAGGTTGCTGCTGCTTGGTGAAAAAAAAAGTGCTGGATAATTAAATTAAATAGTGTAATGAGGTAGAACCGAGACTTTTTTCCTACAGCAGGGTGGAAGGAAAACATCCAAAGCGTTTTTTTTACCTTTTCATTGCAGTTTTTGGCTGAAAATAAGAACTGTTTAATGTTGAGGGTCTTTCCAATGAAAGGTTCGGTTGTTTCTGTGTGAAATCTGTCTAATTAGCTCTCTCTCTCCCTCTTTCTGTTTTTTTTAGGGCTGAATCTGTGCGCGCGTGGAGGAGCACGCGCTTTCCGCTATACTCTGGAATGCAGCCAGTCTCGCGCTTTGAATCCAAAACCCAAAAAGCCTTTGATCTTTTTTCCCTTTTTTTCTCCTCTCTCTCCTCGCCGTCTCCTTACCCGGAAGAGAACCCCCTTCTCTCTCTCTCTCTCTCTCTCTCTCTCTCTCTCTCTCTCTCTCAGCTGGGATGAACGCACACGTGGAAACGTTGGCTCGGATCCACACTCGGCCCAAATTTAGTCGTACAAAGGGAGAGCAGGGGGGAGAGAGGGGGGAGCGGACGGGGTGGGGGGGAGTTGGGGATGAAAGAGGCAGCCGCCGCCAGATCAAAGGCAGCCGCGGCTCCGCCCCGCTAACTCCACCTCCGCGCTTTATAAAGATCTGCCTCCAGATCCCAACTTGGATTCTCACGCAATCTCTCAGCGCTCAGACGGAAACAAGCCCGCTTTTCATTCTGTGCTTTTAGTCATTTTTATTTAAAAAGTTGTTTCAGAAAAACTTATGTATATATTTTTATCTTTAATGATTTGTGATCAATATTAAGCTTTGATTTAAATTATGTAATCTTAAAAAAGAATAACAATGCATCTGTTTATATAAATAAATCTGCCTTTATGTGTGTTTTAATTCACTCCTGTTGCTTATTTTGGACAAAAACACAAAATTTCACACGGATTAAATAATTATCTTCTGTAATGCACAAAAGCAGATTATTTTTGGCCCATACTAATTTTTAATATTAATGCATTTTTAAAATAATTTACTTACTCTACAGCGTTTTGATATTTATTATAACAAAAATATTTTATTTATGCATTTTTTTTTACATCTCTTTACCCTGCAGTATTTAGATTTTTAAAATAATTTTCATTATGAAAAGTAATTTTTTTTATTGTTTATGCCTTTATGTTTTTACTCTACAGTATTTAGACATTGTATTAAAATAATATCGTTATTATTGTGTAAGGATTTGTTTGTTTACATTTTTTATTCTGCAGTATTTACTTTTTATGATATTTATTTTATTTTGCTTACAAATAAATTGCACTTATTTTTTATTTTTTTTTAAACAATTGCTTTTAAATTGACCTAGGTATAAACAGATAAATGTAATTTTTGCTTCGTACTGAAAGTCATAATCTTTTGGTTGTTTTGGGGACTTTTTCCATCAGTTTGAAGGGAATTGGCTCTGCTTCTCCTCCTTGTCTCTCCATTTGCTGGGAGTTAAATCTCTCTCTCTCTCTCTCTCTCTCTCTCTGTCAATCAGAGCCTCGGCTTCCCTTTCATCTCTCCTTCCTCCCAGTGACTGAAGGGGGAGAGAAAAGGAGGAGGAGGAGGAGGAAGAGGGAGCGCAGCTACATTATCAACACACACACACTGCTATCATTACACTGAAGCTCTGCGGGAGCGGCGGGAAGTCGGTCCACGGCGGCTCTTCCTCTCTTGTCTTTCTGCTTTTTTTATTTGATTGTTTCAGGACTTTTTATTTTTTATTTTTTGCTTTTATCTGTCCTCATCTGAGCAGCTTTGAGGATTTATTTGCAGGCAGCTTATTCCCGTTAAAGCTGCATCCCATCACCGTGTTTCCATTTATCTCCACCGGATCACGCAGGAACGTATTTTTACTTTTATAAAAACACTTTTTATTTTTATCATTATTATTTGTTGACTCGTTTCAGGATGAATTTAGACACAAACTGATTATTGTTTATCCTCATGACTTCTTTAATCACAGCTCCGGATTCTGATCTGTCTAATCTGGCTCAGAGATTTCAGCTTTTTTAATAGTTTTGAGAAAAAAGGAAAAAACCCGCAAAAACCTGCGGCTCCGCTCCTCCTGTTGCTCTTCTGAAAACCCACCGGCTGCGCTGCGGTTCCTTCCTGCCTTCCTGCCCACTCGGTTGTGCTCGGATCTCGGTGGGAGTTAACCTGAAACCCCGCAGCCGCTGAGCAAGCACGCAAACCCCGCACCATGCCTCAGCTGTCGGGCGGCGGCGGAGACCCGGAGCTCTGCGCCACGGATGAGATGATCCCGTTCAAGGACGAGGGCGACCCGCACAAAGAGCAGATCTTCGCCGAGCTCAGTCACTCGGAGGAGGAGGGGGACCTGGCGGACATCAAGTCCTCGCTGGTCAACGAGTCCGAGATCAGCCCCAACAGCAACAGCCACGACGTGAGTCCGCTCTGCTGCCCCCAAACTGCCCCGGTCACCCATAATCTGGGTTAAAAAATCCTAAAACTGCCCCGTCCACCCATAATCTGGGTTAAAAAAAAATCCTAAACCTGCTTCATTCTCCCAGAATCTGGATTGAAAAAAAAAAATCTTCAAACTACCCCATTCACTCCTAATCTGGGTTTAAAACCGCTCAAACTGCTTCATTTTGACCTAATCCAGGTTACAGTTTCCACTACAGATTTTTTATCAGCTGAGTCACTCCTGATTGAACCATTTACATTTGACCTGCTGGAACTTTAAAGATGCTCATAAAATCTGGATTAAAAATATCTGCTGATACTCCTGCAGAAACCTTAAATGCTTCTGAACTTAATCCAGACTGAGGCAAATCTGAACACAAACAGATTATAAACTGCGTTTATTTAAGATGGGAGATTTTGGGGCCTTGTGAGTCAAACACTTCTTCATCCTGATGTTTATCATATTCCTGATCATTCCAGTCGTATTTTATGATTTACTGCATTGATCCGGTTAAAATAATCCAAAATGTGATCAGGAGAAGAAATACTTGTATAAATTTGTTACATTTAATTTAAAGTGTCTATTATATTAATTTTTAAATGAAAATGTCGGGCAGCTTTTCTGAGCCTTTGCAGGTGAATTTGGAGGATTTTCTTTAATTTTGATATTTTTGGCATGAAGCTGGTCACTAAACGGAGGCTGAATGTTAATGAGGTTCAACCTGACTCACCCTGAAGTCATTCCCTCTCCTCAGAAACGATTATTAAGATTATTATTCTTTATTTGAATGTTTTAAAAAATCAGATGATTGGTTTGGAAGAGCATCAGATGCGTTAATATTTTAAATTTTTTTTGAACGTTTTCTGGGTTTGAACTGTGAGAGCGGACCAGTGGTACTGGAAATAAGTTAATTTGTAAGCTGCTTAAGGACATGAAGCTTAATTAAGTGTTTCCTCTGAAGCTTTGATGAGGACTGCCAGGGCATCGTGTGTGTGCGTGCGTGTGTGTGTGTATGTGTGTGAGAATCTGACTGATTTCTTTCTGTTTTCTCTTCCAGGCAGCTAGACAGTCCCAAATAGCTCCAGATTCGTACCATGAAAAACACAGAGAGCACCCTGACGACGGTAAGAGACGCACAGCTGTTTTCTCCTGGAAAACGACAAACGTTTAGTTTTACTAACCAGATCAGAGGCGACTCCAGCAGAAATGCTTATTTTGGTCCTGCACTGCAAAAACACAAAATCTTACCAAGTAACTTTAGTCTGGTTTCTGACTGAGATGTCTTTGTACGCTTTAAATTAACTTAAAAGTAACTTTTTAGCTTGTTTAAATCAATAATTCCTTTGTTGGTGAAAAAGTGAGAATTATTTCATAATTGATCAACATTAAGGAACTAAAACAACCTGAAAAGTTTCTTCTAAGTTACTTTTCCTTTTATTCCAAGTGTTAGAAGATATTTACACTTGAAAATATTTTCTAGTTTTATAGACTTCTTAAACCTTGGTAAGATTTAGTGTTTTTTCCCTTCTGCTAGTCCGGACACGTTGCCTGACTCCGTAACCATGGCGACGAGGCGCCTGCAGGAAAAGCTAAGCAAGAAAGCAAAACAAAAATAGCAGGAAAAGGAGGTGAAGCGTTTTCACCTGGGGAGCGGCGCGTCAGCTGCAGGGATTTGTGATGTCACAGGCAACACGTTGCCCCCCCTGGGGACTCATTGCCCCCCCACCCCTCCCTCCTTTGGGACTCACGGCTGTCTGACCCCGCGCCTGCAGGTCGTAGTCGGAGCGTGCCTCCTTTTTGTTCCTCCTCCTTCAAAACCAAACACTGGCCTCCCTCTTCACGTCAGCCATGTTGCCATCGGCCACTGCCCCCCTCCCACCCCTCTGACCCCCCCTCTCGGGTCAGAGGCGCAGTTGGGGCGTCTCCTGCTTTGACACAGCCTGTATGTTCTCCTAATTGGTGCTAATTGGCTCAGAGGGGCTCCATTGTTGCGCCGCATAATGGCGCCCTCCTCTCTTTGACAAGGGGGAGAAAGGAGGAACAAAAGGCCGCGGCGGCGCGGGGCCGCGGGGTTAAAGCCACAGAAAGCGATACGATCACCAGGTGAACTTCAGAGCGGGTTTGTTCGCTGAAACAGAAAGTAACGCTGCCTCTGGTTCTGCTGTGTGTGTGTTTGGACCAGGAAAACACCCGGACATGTACAGTAAAGGCCACCCGTACCCGGCCTACCCAGGCTACATCATGATGGGCAACATGAACAGCGACTCCTACATGAACAACGGCTCGCTGTCGCCGCCCATGGCCAGAACGGTGAGTACCGGCCCGGTTCTGGGCCACAAAACCGAACCTGAACCTGCAGAAAAAACCAAGCAGACGGTTTCATGACTCTGAAACCCGTCTGAACGGATGTGTTTTCACTGAAATGTAGCAGGTTTTCCATCTAAATACTTTAAAACCAGCTGTGCTCCAATAAATCGGCTCAGATTTCTGTAATTTTGGGAAATCAGTCGATATTTAACTCGATAAATCGATTTTATCTTTCTCCTTAAAGGCCTGAAAATCAGAAAAAGATGCAAACTTAGCAACTTTGTTACTATATTTAGCAACTTTTCAGACAAAAACAAACTGGTATCAGCTAAAATCGGAATCGGTAGATCACATCGGCAATCGGTTAATTAATGAGAGCCTCGCTTGGTTTGTCGTCCATCAATGATTTGGTTGTTTTTGATGTAGTTCTGCAGATGTTGTTTTAAATATCGTCAAGGTTTTGCACATTTTTAAAACTGGAATCTCCAAATTTATATTTAGTTTTTTATGAAACTGTCACCTGAACCAGAGGCATCCAAAGTTAAAAGAACCAAGAAAATAAAAATAAAATCAAGTAAATGAAGTAGTCCAATGTTTTTGTTTTTTTGTAGAAAAGCAATGTAATTCATTACAGATCCAAAAAGATATATATTTTACATGTTATATTAACAAAAAAATCATCCCGACATAAACAGGATTTATGTCACTTGGTATTTTTAGCCAAGTTCAATAAATTAAATAAAAGCTGATTTGAGTTTCTCAGTAAAAGTCTCTGGATAAACGCGGTTCTACTTTCTATCAAAGACAAATCATTAGAAAATTGTCTGTAATCATTTTTCCCTGATTAGTAAATAAACACTCTCCACCTGAATCATCCACCTGTGCTGTGTTGTAGTAGGGGCCGCTTTAGATCAGTCCAGGGGCCACAAATGGCCCCCGGACCGCACTTTGGACCCCACTGGTCTGAAGGAAAAATTAAAACAGAATTAAAAAAATAATAAATCCGCCTTGTTTACTGAGATTCTAATCTTTGATTTTAAATCGGGAAACGATCATTTGATCAGGAAATAACGGAGTGAAAACAGGAAGTTTGGGGTAAAAATGGAAAAGAAGCTCGACGGAGCTTCATATTTAGTTTTTTATTTTGTTAAAAAAATATCAGAAATGACTAATTACAGAAGATAAAATCATGTATTGATCTGTAAATGAGGAATTAATTTTAAAATGTACCAACAGTTTGAATTAAATCGTGTCTTCCCATAGATAAAGAAAAATAATCTAAAAAATTAAAAAGCATCTATGATTGGTTTTAATTAGACAGTGCATTTATTTTCTGTATTTTTGCTCGAGTTGACCTCCATGTTGTTGTCAGTTAGCCTGTTAGCGCAGCCTGCAGACTGAGGAACACCAAGCTGGGCTGCAACCTGTCAGATGAACTACATTTAAATCTGCTCTTATCTACAAAGCGCCTTTGATTTTTTTTTTCTCCTATCTGGCTCTGAGTTTTTTCCTCTCAAAATAAGAAGCGTGATTTCTATCTAAAGAGTTCGCTGATCTCAGGAACCAGGAGCTCTTCCAGATTGCTTATCTTCAGTTTGGGAAACCAAATGTCTGAATGTGCGGGAACTTTTTCTGCTCGACCCGGATAAACCCGAGAGTTTCAGCTCCGTTCAGAAATCATCCTCTGCATCGTTTATCAGTGGTTATTGAACTAAATGTTTATCAGTTGCCATTAAATGTCCCTCAGACTTGATTTAAGAGAAAAAGAAATTGGCTTTTTCTCTGCTGTTGCTCCTTTTCTTTCATTCTTAAAACTTATTTTGATTCGTTGGCATTCAGTTGAGGTCTGACGCTGTAACTTTTCTGTTGGGATGTTTTAGTTTTACTCTTTTCGTCATTTTCTTCTGCTCTGATTTGGTATTTTTCATGTGTCCTCGTCCAGAACTTCAGTGCGTTTTCAAACTTTCTTTTTAAAAAGCGCCACATAGATAAACTTTGGCAACTTCAGGCTAGCTGCTGCTTTCTTCTTTCTTCAAAAACACAAAATATTTACCAGTATTTTAGTTTAGGCTATAGTGCAAATATCTTAGTATACTTGGAAACTAACTTAGAAGTAACTTTTCAGTAATAATCTTTGTAATTAGTGGAACTAGTACTTTTCAAAATCACCATTAAAAGAATTATTGGCCTAAAATGAGCTCATATTTCTTACTGAAAAGTTACTTTGAAGTTATTTTTGTCTTATTTCAAGTGAACTAAGACATTTGCACTAGAAACTAGATCAAAACTACTTGGTAAGATTTTGTGTTTTTGCAGTGTAAAAAGGGAATAGTGAGTTTGGTCCTGTTAGTCTTCCACTGCAAAAACACAAAATCTTACCAGGTATTATTGGTCCAGTTCACTTAAAACAAGACTAAACAAACTTAAAAGAAACATTTCAGCAAGAAATAGGAGCTTGGTTTAAGTCAATAATTCATTTAATATTGATTTTTAAAAGTAGTTAGTCCACTGGCAGATTATTTCACTGAAAAATGTTGTAAGTGAATTTATCTGACAGTGGAACTAAAACTTTTTCACCTATATTAAGGAATTATTGGCTCCTTTATCTCACTGCAGAGTCACTTGTTAGACAGTTTCATCTATTCTGAAGACATTTGCATTAGAGACCAGATAGAAATACTTGGTCAGATTTTGCGTTTTTGCAGTCAAGCTTCTGCTGTCCGTCCAGTTGGCATCGGGGCGTCCAGCAGGGCGCCGACGCAGGAAGTGCTCCCACCTGGTTAGGAAGAACAACAAGGCCGCTTCTTGTTGTGAATTCCCCGGGAGTTGGATGGAGCGGCGGAAAGTTGCCTCGGCGTTGTTGTGAGAGTCTGTTTTTTGGGAAGCAGATGTGATTGTCGGGGGGTAGAGGCCACATGCTGAGTGTAAAGGATCTTCTTTCACACGCAACTCTATCATGGGATGATGTTAAAATTGCGTCGTTCCCCCTTTGAAATAGTTGCGGGAGTGAAAAGAAAGTGTGGCAGTTTGGAGAAAATTGGATTAATTTGAGCGCTTTCCTGTTCGCTTCTGGAAATTCTGTTCTGATGTTGAGATTTTTGCTGGTTTGTGTTAATCCGTGGCACCGAGAAGCTCATAAACCTCAGTATGGAGACCAGCTGAGTGTGTTAGAGGAAATTACCCCTCAGTGCAGATGTGTAAAACCAGGCAGTTCGGAGGCAAACCTCCTGCCCAAACTTCTAAAACCTTTTCTTTTGCTGTGGTTAGCCTCCCTCCCCCTGTCTCCAATAAAACAGAAGTCATTTTCTACGCGTTTCTCTCGCCGATCCAATAACAAGTGGAAGAATCCCGACTTTCTCACTGATGTCAGCTCGCCTGCTCTGCTGCCGGCCACCGCAGCCTCAGTATCTGCAGGCCTGGGATCAGTTTTCACCCAGATCAAAGCAACATTCTCCCTTTCATTCTCTTCCATCCTCGCCCCCCGTCCCAGCAGTTTAGATTGATTTCCATTGACCATGACATTCCTGCACATGCCGGAGTCCAGTCTGCGAACAGAGGGTAGCGTTTGCTGATTGTCAGCAGATTTTGGGGACTCCCAGATTAATGAGCAGACTCTGCTACAGAAGCTCAGACTTTACACCAAAACATGTCCACAGTTAAGAGAAATGAGTAACTTTTACCAAAAATAAAAAATCTTGGATAAATGTTGATGAGACTTGTCATGACACAGTTTGAACACCTGGTGGCGCTTGTTAAGAAAAACATATTTCAGGCTAAGTTCACACACCTTCGATGATAAATTCGATTGTCTTTTGTTTTGGTTTTTTCATGGTTGTGAGTCGCACAGCAGCGCTCTGTTTACGGCAGTAATAATGGCCGCCGCTGTAAAGTGGATGGACTCTAACGGGAGGCGACAGGTTTGTTAGAAGGTGAAGCTTCTAATAAAACAAAATCGCATCGGCTGCAGCTTCTGTAGAGAAATTTGTTTGGATTTGTGGCAGGAACCACTGACACAAACTTCTTTCACAATTTTTCTGTTTTTCTGCGTCTTGGTTCTTCTGATGCAGAAATGATGCAGAAATGACTGCAGACGCTTTGAAAACTATCGGATATGTATCCGATTTAGTTCCTGAGATGGAACTGAGGTAGGGAAAAAAGTAGATCTCGCAGCAATAAATTAACACAGATCTTCCTATTTAAACTGTGTCTCTTATCTTTAAAGCTTCAGCTAGCATGATTTTTATTTAGCTAAATTAGCATAAAGAAGGAACAACATATAGAAAGAAATAAACTGCCATTCATAGTTCTGTGGTCAAATCTAAATTATTTTAGAATTCCTAAATATTGCTTAAAACACCTTTTGGTTTGTTAAACATTAATTCTGTTTATGGAAACTCACAAAAGAATGAATTTAATGCTTTATTTAGTACGCTAGAGTTAGCATGCTCTATAGCTTTTAGCTGCTTCACTGTTTTGATTTTATTGAATCTTAACTACATTTATATACTATCTAGTTTTAATGAAACCTAGATAGTGTAGCTGCTCTTATGCTTGTCTTTGTCCTGCTGGTTTGTTGAAAGTTTGTGTTTTTGGTTCTGCAGCATTTTGTGGAGTTCTGGATAGTTCATGTGTATTAAGATCAAAGCTGTAGAAAAACTGCTTAGCATTCGGACGAGGTTTGTTTCAACTTCATGAACACTACATGGTGTATTGAGTGAATCTTCATCAGTGCAGACTGAGCGTTTGCACTGTTGAAGAGATTGAATAATGTTTTATGGGGTAATGCTGCGATTTTTCAGTAGCTGTTGTGTGAATGCAGATGTGAAGCTGAGGTTGAATTTTTCCACCTGACTCAGCAGCAGATTCTTTGATGTTTCAGCACAAAAAACACCAGAAAAAAACCCTTTCATCTTAGATCAGTATAAGCATTTTTAACAGGGTGTCCATGCATCCTTAAGGAATCTTTAATTCAAGTATCAATAATTACGGCCTCAAATTTGTAC